GCTCCCTTGCATGCTTTGGGGGGGGGGGGATGAGGGGGGCCGGCGCCCTTTTTGGCAAACTCAAGCTGTCCCCAAGAGGGCTTGGTGGATTAAAGGGCACCTTTTTGAAAGCAAACCCGTGCTCCTTGAAACTTCCCTTAAGCAAGCGGTTCCAACAGTTGGACTTCGGGATTGGCAGCCAAGCCGCTTGAAAATCCGATGAGACACATCCTTTAGGCTGGTGCTCACGGTCCACGGGTCTTCCAGGCGAGCCACCTCCTTCTGCAACGCCTCACGTGAATGCCTAGACTTCAGACTAGCAACATCTGGACCGCACTTGTAGCAAAGTCAAGGGCGCCAAAGCAAACCAGGCCCACTTTGAGTTGAACATGCTACGGCTCGAGCTTGAATCTTGCCTGCTCCTCACGCACGCACACACAGGCACGTGTGCGCGCGAGTCCTAGATGCCAACACATCAAGTTCAGTCAGCATGTATCAGGGCAGGCAACCAAAGCTGAACCCTTTATATTCTGCTCAGCCTTTTGCAGACTTCGTAGAACATGCCGAAAGCCAACAACGCACTGCAATATGCAATATGATTCAACGAGCCGAAAGGCAAGAGCAAGCGAAAGCACCAAGAACGAGGGGGCGCGAAAGACCCTACAAAAAAGAGCAATATTGCACCGAAGCTGAAAGACCAAATCGCCCACCAAGAACCAACTAATAAACAGCCGGGCAGAACAGCCATGGCCCTTGCCCTTTCTACCAGCCGGGAATCCGCTCCTCCGTTGCCAGGGCTTAACCTATCCAATGCTTTGAAGATGCCGACCTGCGCGAAAGTCTGGCTGCGCCTTCCAGTCGCTCTCCAGCTGCCTCTCGATCTTCGTTTCGAGGGATTCAAGTCCTGGGCATAGGCTCCAAGCGCAGGCTAGAAAAGTAAAGCAGAAGCAAATGGGTGTGCTCCTTTTTTTTTAGCCGACCCCCAAAATGGCAATCTATGGGTGTGCCCTTTTTTTTGGCGACCCCTAAAATGGTCCACAGAAATCCAACTACTGAACTTTGACCCTTGCCTCCTCGACCAGGTCCCGACAGAAAACCCTGTCGGATTGAAGAAGCTGATGGGTGCTTCGGACTGCCCTGTCAGACCCATGCTCTGATCTCATGCAGGCGCAACATGCCCGAAATGTCCTGAGACATCCTTTTGCAAACTATAAACGAATGATCGGGGATGGCAAAAGGCCTGCTCAGCTTCCTCGGTTCTCGCAGTGGCTTCCAAACACCAGCAATATCATATGTTCCGGGGGAAAGAAACTGAAGCAAAAGAGAAGGCTACATAGGCTGATCCTTTCAAGAATGCCGCACATCAAGCTTGCATTACATTTTGGTCATTTGCATGTTGAATTGCGAATGAACTTCATTCGCCCAAGTTGCATAGAGAAAAATCCTAATGGACAGCCATGACACCACGCAAGCGGTCCATGTCCCATAAAGGAGCCCTGTGCAAGCAAAGGTCGCACCGCTACTGCCATACCCAAGGAGATCGCCACCTGATGAGTCCTTCGTACCTGCGGTCGGGGCTCGGCTCAGTTGATTCTCTCCACATGACTCATGTGGTCATGGGTCAAAAGTCCGTACCCCCAGTGAGCATCCCAATCCAACCACTAAAATAGCCTAAAATGGGTACTGCACCTACCCCAAAATGGTATCATTGGTTTTGACCCACAGCCATGTGGCTGTGGCTCAAATGAATGTACCAAAATGGCACCTTGGTAAATGGAACCAAAGACTACCCTTCCTCCCACTAACATGGCACATGTGGGGCAGTGCTGTTGGGGACAACGTGAAGTGTGCGATGCCGTGGGCCAACTCGTGCTGACAAAGTCGCCATGCGAACAGAACATCGCTCACACGCTCCATGCAGCGTACCCAGCAAATGTCCAGAAATACACATATCCTGTTGTGCATGAGCTGCATGACGCACATGTTTGGCTATATAAATACTGAACCCCCTTTTGGTTCGCTTTTTTGGGGTCCCCCTTAAGATGATATGGACTCCTGAGAAGAGTCGAAGCCCCCATCTTAAGATAATATGGACTCCTCAGAGCAAAAAGCATGTCGCAGCCCCAAGCAATCGGGGTCTTGGCACAGGTCTACTCTGCAATACTAGCAATTACTAGCATGTGCAAAAAGTGAGACTTGATCAAGCATAAACACATGTTATATCCCGTTGACTACACATGTTTTACATCCAGTCGACTGCTTCCTGGTCGCAAGCATATCTTGTGCAGGGCGGGGGGACTCGACTAACTTGAGTCAGCGTTGGCTTCTGCGAGTACCAAACAGGCTGCACGTGCACGTGCGATGCCAAGACCAGCATCCTCTGGCGGTGCTTTTGCCAGCTAAATGGCCCATTCATCCTCCTTGTCCAGGCTTTCTTCACGGATTTGGGCCATCCGAAAAGCTTTCTAATAGATGATGCGCGAATTTGTGCTGGTCGACCGTTAAGGACGTGGCCAACCCAGGAAAAAAACAAAATCCAGCTGTCTCTGCCCCCCGAAACATCGAAATCGCCCCCAACTCGATCCCCCGGAGCTCGGGCTCATCCCTCTCCGGGCCTCCGGGTCGATGCTCAAGTGAAGGCAGCCGTCAGACTTGAGCTGTGTGCTGGCGCCTGCCCGTTGTTTTTTGTGGTTTGTTTTTTGACTTGTGTTGGTTTTGTGGTTTGCTCGTTTTTTTGCCCGTTTATATATATATATATATATATGTATATATAACTTGGAAGCAGGTCCCCGCACTTGACCAATCTGGGTGTGGGGCAAAAATAGGGTAACCCCGAGGTGGGTTGCCCTGGAAAATGAGAACAGGGACCAAAACCTGCGGCCCCCAAGCTGAAAAGGGAAGAAGCGAAGGTCAAGCCAGAAGCCTACGCATAAACTTGTCATACCTTTCCCTGAGCAACTGGTAGACCTAGTGCATCTACCAATCAAGGATCCCTCAGTGCGACCTCTGGCAATTCCTAGACACTCCAAGGTCTGGCCGCTCTCACCGCAAACGGGTGTGGACAATTTTCAGGAAACTGTTCGTTGCAACTTGCCGGCTGGTGGCTCGTGCACGCCACTCTCTAGGGACTCAGATCCAGATCCGGATCCAGCCTCCTTGAGGCCATTTGACTGAGTGAACCAAGGTCGAAATATGGGCGTGGCTCGCAAATTAAACGATCGGAGGGGCGAACCGCAGGCTTTTTTTGGTCCATGTTTCCACTTACCAGGGCAGCTCATTTTGGGACCGGTTTTTCGAGCCACAGCCATATAGACGTTGAGCCAAACAACTAGGCCTCCCTATCCGAAGCCCTATCCCATGCGTGTGATCTGGGGGAATCTGCTTCAACTGGCTTACATGGCCCTTTGCCAAGTGGGTGTGGCTCAAAATTAAAGAGCTAGGGTTACGCAGGCTTTAGTCTTTGGTTCCATTTGCCAGGGTGCCATTTTGGGCTCCATGTTTTTGACCCACAGCCAAATCCCGACCCTCACCAAAGAAACGATCTGCCCTTGCCCACACTGAACTCTAGAAAACGGTGTGGACGCGCTTTTTGTGGATTTCACCTGTTCTTAGCCTCTGTAGGTCCTTTTTTAGTACTCTTTTAATATCCTGCTGATCCACAAAAACCGCCTCCAAAACGTTCTCTGGATGACCTGGGCGATTCATCGTCCCCACCTGCCGGAGCATCCAGCAGCTCCATGGATTCGGAGGCAATAGGCTCACCATCCTTATCGGGGGGGAAGGGGGGGGGAACCCCAAAACCCTTTTTTGGGTGGCTCCTTGTTTTTTAGGCTACCCCCAAAATGATGGGGTGTCCTTGTGGTTTCCCTTTAACAAAAAAGTGGGGCGCAAAAGAGAAGGCAAGCAAATTTCCCTCAAGCCACTGATTGGCTCAAAACTTCCCCCTCTAGCGACTGCAAAACATGCTCCTGCAGCCCTGAAGCATTTCCTCGCGTGTGATATTTGCCAGGCAGTCCTAGCAAACTTCTCCGCAGGATCTCGAGTCCCTTTCTGAGATTCATAGATTGTAGTAGCATCAATGCACTGTGTGAACGTATTCCCTTGCTGTTCTAAACAGCCCCTCAAATACAACTAGCCTCGACATCCAGTGGCAGTCATCACAGGAAGTCACACACACACACAGACAGAGACACTTAGACACACGCATCATTTAAGACAGACCCTCACCCCTGCAAACATTTAGCTGGGAGTTTTGATGGGGAGCCCCCTCCCACATGGTTGGTGGACACAAATCCTCACCGAGCTCTGATGTCCACCAAAAGGACGCACTAAAATTTGCACCCATTTCGCTGCCAAGATGCTTCCTGCGGTTGCAGGCGCCCCTCCAAGACCAGCTGCAGGGCGCCTCGCGCTTGCGAGGCGCGAGGCCGCTCGTTCGATCGAAGCAATCGCATCAAGCCCCAGGTCTGCAGCTTCCTCCTTCGGCTTTGAGATGGCCATGGGTCAAAATCCAAATCGTACCCCCAGTGAACATCCCAATCCAACCACTAGGTTCTAACATGGGTGGTGAATTCACCTACCCCAAAACGGGATTCTGTTGGTTTTGACCCACAGTCAATTGCCCCCTGGAAAAACAAGTCCAGTACTGGTTAGATCCCCTGAAAAACCAACTTCAACAAGGAAAACAAGTCTGATGTGCGCGTTCAATCTTGAAGTGTCGCTGTCCCCGATTTCTGGCGTCAGATGAGAAATATTCTATCCGCTCGATGTCACATAGGCAAAGTTGGACGCAGACCCAAAAAGAGGAGTGCCGTTAGATGGATGCTTTGGGCTCCAATGTTTTTACCCACAACCCCTTTCCAATAGTTTACGCCTAAGCCCTTGCTTGTTTCGGAGTGGCCCGTGACTTCTATGAGAGTAGGTGCTACACCCTCTGGCTGTGTGGCTTCTGGCCCTTTTGGCCGAACCTGCTTTCCCTGTTTTCGGCCCAGCAAACTGGTTGAGTCATTGCCATGCTTGCC